GCCTTAAGATAGCTTCTGGAGATGGAGCACTGATCCAAGCGGACTGCGGACCCAGCTGTTTGCCTTACTACCATAAACAAATGTTGAATGGCCACAGGGCAGACAAACAGAACCTTGACCCGGGAATTCCTAGAAGCTTCCTTTCCTCATCATAACACATAAGGGTCAGCCCAGCCCCTGGGGGCTTTGGGGGGGAGGGGCTGGATGATGGGGGGCCTCCTTGTTCAAGTATGAGTTGGACAATAGATAAAATGGCTTCTGAGAGCCCTTCCGATTCTTGGAGAGAGGGACCTGGGGCACAGGGCGTAGACCCTGGAATAGGGAACATCCGAGTTCCCATTCTATCTCAGTCTCTTGCTGTGTGACTCTGAGCTTGACTTCGTAACTGCTCTGGGCTCTGGCTTCCTCATCTGTAAAACGGGGAAAATTGTATAATTATAAGTAAGTATAGCACCTACTGTTCTGAGGATCAGAGGAGATAACAAGTAAAGCCCTTTACAAATGTTAAAGTGCTCCAGAAATGCTATTCTAATTACTATTATTATTCCATGAACTAACTGGCCAAGAGTCTGAAGACCTGGTTTCTCCCCAGCTCTAAGTAGCTTCATGACCTTGGGCGAGACCATCCCACCTTCTCTGGATGCCTGCTGATTCTAGGACAAAGCATCCCTCTCCCAAATGCTACTCTTTCAGCTCTGGCCAAGGGAGTATTTAAGATAAGAAGACACATGCCCTTTACATGGATGGGGTAACCTCAGTTCTTTATACCCCTTTCGATGGTGGAGGGACTTCAAAAGCCGATCTCCACCCCCAGATTTTGTGGAACAGAAAAAGAACAAAGAAAGGTCACCGCATTCATGTGGTCAGCTCTGTATCTCTGCAATAATTAAGTGACTCCGTGTGGGAAACTGACCCTTCCTTACTAAATGATTCTTTTCCCTGCTGCAGAGCCTGAATCTGAATGGCTAAGCAATGCGGTGGCCCAGAAAGTTCACATACCCAAAGAGTGGGGGGCCCTGGTCATGCACAAAAACGACAAATTTATCACAATGTCAGCAGTCACTGAGGCCAGAGCTGTCGTAGCTGGTAAGCACTGAGGTCTACGGCCACCAAATCACCTTTGTTGAACACCATCTGGGCCTCGCCAGTTGTTGAGATTGTCTTGTTAAAAAAATGAACCTTTCAAGTGATCTTGAAGCAATTAAGCTTAACCTTTACGGCCACCCCCAAACTGCACTGCACCACACATACAACCAAGTCTCTCCACCACTGCCCCCCACCCCCACGCTCACCCACCAGCACTGCAAGAACAGCTGATGGCTGGCAGAACTCAAGGGCATCATCGCAAAGCTTCCACAGGTGGGCAGTGGCAGCCTTGGAGAAGTCTTACCATGGCCCTCCCTTCCCAGGTTCCAAACACAACTGCTTGGCCGAGGGAGAGGCTTGACCAACCGATGCTCAGGGGCAGCTAATTGTCCAGGAGACATCACTGGATCGGACCAGAGTTCCCTCTGGCTGCTTGAGGCACTTGTGTGCTCCAGGCAGTCTTCTGGGCGCCAGTGACGTGCAGATACTGCGACCTAGGCTTTGCTCATCACAGGAGCCATGAGTATTCCATGCGCTCCAGTAAGCCTTCCCGATTTCCACTCCTACGCTTGCAAGGTCAATAAAGACCAGGATCAAAGTCGCTGAATCATTCTGTAAACAGCCACGCAAAGCACTCCATCTGCACTGGGAAAATCCAGCGCTCTAGCTCAGGATGGAGCTCTCTCCCAATTCCTATTCAATTTTCCATGTCAGAAATTCAATGACGTTTCCTCTCAGGCCTGCTCAGTGTTCATGAGGCACCTCAATATTTCTGACTGCCTGACACTTATGTTTCTGAATAGGGTTACATAGGGACTTGATCCTAGAAATCCCTCCAGAGAGCCTTTATCTATTAGTCAACTGCAAAGGAGACAGCTTTAAGGTTACTCTTTAGTGGCTAGGGGACAAAGCCTGGAAACCCTTAAAATACTCTTTTTAAAAATATTTTTATATTCTTTAGGCAATTGGGGTTAAGTGACTTGCCCAGGGTCACACAGCTGGTAGGTGTCAAGTGTTTGGTCTGAGGCTGGATTTGAACTCGGGTCCTCCTGACTTCAGGGCCGGTGCTCTATCCACTGCACCACCTCGCTGCCCCTTAAAATACTCTTAATTTGAAGGAGACAAAGCACAGGAAAGTTCCAGAAAAGTGGCCGTCCCCAAGTTCTTAAGCAGGGCCTGGCGGAGCTGCCGTCCCTGGGGGTGACAAACCTCTGGTCACCTCTAGCATCCTCCACATGCTCGCTGCCCCCAAACAGCCCAGCCTGCCAGTACTGACTCACGGCTTTGTAGAAGGAACCATCTGACAGGTTACAGGCTTGCCATTCAATGGGCTCATGCTTTGTGGGCCCAGTATGGGAACCGGCTTCTTCTCACGAGACAGTGAGCCTTGGAATTCATAGCTTCTTCCCTAACTGGCCCACCTTGCAGCTCCCAAAGACCAAAGGTCTAGATGCTTCGGCTCTCAAGTGACCCTGCCTTTCAGGTCAGAAAGTGACACGGCCCTGAGCACGTCATGTACTCTGGGAACAGGTCAAGTCCAAGTGCCTCCAGTGATCACGATGCATTGGTGAGAGTCTGCCTGGGGGAGTCAGGCCCTCCCTCAGGGGATGGGAGGCTACTTGAGAGCATACACAGCACTGGGCACTGACTGCTCTCACACTGAGATCCTGAGGGTAAAGGGCAACTCAACACAGGGACTTTCCTGTGTTTCCAATACTGGTCACCATATATCAGTGATTAGGCAGGGAAGAGGCGGGAAATCACGTCGGGTAATTCTACCAGCCTAGGTAACGAAGCACAGATCTTGGAACCTGCTGTTACCTGGCGGCTTAGAAGGGCGAGGGGACTCCTTGCCCAGCCAGGGGCGTGACGCGAGGAGGGACCAGAAATGGAGGGCTGATTTCCTGCTGTCCTCAGCACTCTCCTCCCTTGCCACCGCCATCCCCGCCGGGGCTGCCCTGTGCTGGGCTGAGTCTGGGGAATTCGCTCTGAATTCACACGACAAACTCCCCAGCCTGGCTTTGAGATCAGGGGTTGCTTGGATTGAGGACACCAGAGATGCAAAGGGAGTTTGAATCCCTGCAACAGCCAGGGCTTTGGGACAAGACGCCAAAGGGGGCAGATTCTGGGCGGCACCTTCAACAGTGTCTATGGGGAGAGGGGAAAGGAAGGAGGTGATGAACCAAGGGGAAAGGAAACTTTAAAAGCATTAGCAAACGCTACCATGCGGAACTCTAAACTTTATTCACTTTTATTTATATATTTAACAATTCTAAAGTATTTACTTCTTGCTTTGACAAAAAAATGAAAAATAGAGGAGCACTGCCCCCTCTGTAAGAGAGAAGGGTGATATGTACAGCTACGGAGAGTTACAGTTCCTCCTTTACATACAAAGAAAAATAATATTAATAAAAAAGTGCTTCATTGATCAAAAACAAGGGGGAGGGCCTACGAGCTGCAAGCATTTATTCACACTGTACATCAGACCCAAGAAACCCGTATCGGAACCTCTGGAGAACCTTCCCTCCGGCTGATTCATCCTCACTCCCAGCCCCCACGTGCGGGGAGGAGCACCCCCGGCTTCCCTACTGCTAGCTCGGAGGCACCCTGACAAAGCAGGCCCCGTGGGAGGTCTGCTGGGGCATGCTCTGGGACGATGGCTGGAAAGTCCTCCGAAGGCCCCAGAGGACGCCAAGTGAGGAGCAGGCCCTCCGCACAGGTCCTCATCCCAGAGTTCCTTCAGACACTTCTACCCTGTTACCTGGTGACAGCTTTGAGTGCAACAAAGCACGGTCCTCCTTCCCCAGAGGGAGGGAGAGCCTGTGGGTGCAAAACATGGATACCAACACAAACCAGCGCACACAAACCCCGGCCACTCTCCACCGCTCTCCTCCTACTTTTCCCCAAAAACCTCCTGTCCAAGTCCTGGGCAGTTTCCCTAGTGATGTAAGGGCAGCTCCTCCAAATGGACTTTGCTGCTGCTGCTGAGAAGCCAAAAATGGCACCAGATGGAGGTCCTACATAGGGCCCTTCTTTCTGCTGATGGCCAAAGTCAAGCCCAGCCCATTCTCCAGGGAAAAAGGGAATGGGAAGTCTGGTTCCATTCTTGGGGGCTTGTACTTTCAGAGGCTGATTTTACCCTGGAGGAGAGATCATGATTCTTTGCTTGTTGGTTTTTTTTTTTGGGGGGGGAAGGAAGCTGGGGCCTTTTGGAACCCCGAGTCCAGATCTCCCTGTGTTAGCCGTGACTGGGTGTGAAGGGGCAGTACTAGGGGCGGCTCGTTGCTGGGAAGGGAGGTGGGCACTGAGAAGCTGCAGACCTGGCCACTGTCAGCAAGAAGGGTCCTATGTTCTGGGTCAACGCACAAACAAACCACACAGGGAGGACGGGAGATCTGCTCGGCCTCCTCGCTGCATCTGCAGGCTCAGCTAAGGGACAGGCCTTGGCCACGAGGGCACCCTACAAAACAGGGAAGCTGCCCGAGGACAGAACGGGCTCGTGAGCTCCCTGTCAGCAAAGGGAGGCTAAGTCAGCCCAGGCTTACGAGAGAGAAGGCGGGACGGGCCCTCACGGGACCAGAGCTCCCCATTTCTTCTAGCAGCAAAGGTTTCCCCAAACAGCACTACCTTGTTTGGTGGCATGAGGAGTGATTGAAAGCCTCAGCAAGGGCACTCTGCACACTGCTTCTGGTCTTGGCTCCTGGCTCCCCCTTCTCCTGCCTCCCGATTCCAAACCAAGCCAACTCTGCAGTACCGACCAACGGGGGGGGGGTAGAGCTAAGAGCCACAGGACCCCTTCTGCAACCTCCAGTCATCTAGCAAAACCAAAGCCCAAACACAGATCAGAGGGTGGAGAGGCAGGGGGGAGGGGAGGATCCTCCACCCCAGCAAGACGCCCTAGAGCTCCGTCCTCGGAGCAGGCGGGTCCTTGCTCCCCACTCCAAAGCGCGCGGGCCACGGGACCTTCTCGGGGCACCCAGGGTGTGCAGGGCTCCCCGGGGGGGAGCCGCCCTGGCCCCCGACAGGCAGAGGCTTCAGTTTGAAGTGGCAGCAATGGGTTTCTCCAGTTCGAGGTCCAGGCTGGAGCTCGTGGGGTGCAGGCTGTGATAGCAAGACTTGCAGACTCGGCTGGGCTCGAAGAGCTGCTGGCTGGGAACCGGCACCTTCTGGTTGCAGCAGCTGGAGCAGAAAACATTCCCACAGTTCCTTGAGTTGGGAAGGGGGAGACACAAGAAATAGGTGACATCATTAATGATGGCTGGGCGTGAAAGGAAGCAGAAGCCAAATGCAGCACATTCACCTGGGGCTCTGGGGGAGCTGCCGAGCTGAGGAAACAGGAGGTGCTGGCACTGATACCCCACAGTACCAAGCTGAAGGCTTCTGTAGGATGCCTGGGCTATGCCCAGAGCCGGAGTCAGCAGCCCTGGGCCCATGAGAAACACTGAGGCCATCATCGCCTCAACAGGGGGAACACAGGCACACTCACACACACACACACACACACAAGCACGCTTTTTTGCCCCTATGATACTGAGATAGACCAGAGTTGGGTGCAAGAGCCTCACTCCAATCCCTGTGGGCTGAGGAGGGCAGTGATGGGGGGGGAGGGGGAGATCTGGAATCATGCAAAGCCACAGGATGAGAAGCCATGTGTTGCATGCTCAGAGTGTGAGGGGGAGGGATGCAAAAGGACAAGGAATGGCTAGAGGGAACACCCCCCACCCCATAATTAGGTGTCAGTTGGCTGAGGCGGCTCAGAGCTCATGCACCTCTGGCGAAACACAGGGTTCAGACAACCTCAGAGTGTGGCCAAGATTTCTTTCCTCCTCTTTCAAACGTGCCTCAGTTAGCAGCCTAAGGAAGGCTCACGGGCCTTTCCAGTTATTGACATATTGTCTCCTGATGCTGACTCCCTTCCTCTCCCTGCCTCTGATGAGCCTACAAGTGTAGGGCCCAGGAATTACCCACTGCCTGCTCTTTGGCCAAGTCTCTCCCTCCCTCTGGGCCTCAGGGGTCAGACTTACTCTCTAGGCCCCCTTTTCAGCCCCAAAGCCTGGATAGCCCTATGACTGAGGTCAGTCCCACCAAGCCCAGTTGGGAGAGGCACTCTTGGGAGTCAGTCGCTGCCACAAAAAAAGTCTGCCCTGAGCTAGTTCCCAGGAGTTGGAAAGTAACCAGGAGAGGGTCAACCTCTGGCTATAAGAGAAGGCCGGCTTTCCAACCTGGCTCGCTCCCCTCCATCCCTTTCAGTTACATATTTGGGGGGACCACTTCTGTCTGATAAACTGTTCTTCCTAAAGACCAGGAAGGTCAATGAAGGGAAGGAATGTGGTTTGGGGGTAGGGGAAGAGACACAAGGACAAAGAGCAGAATGCAGAGGAGCGAAGGGGTAAATGTCGTTCTCTGGAAGAGAGTGGCTCTGTTTTATAACTCTGCTCCCACGAAGTATGAGTCAGCAAGAGCTGCGGCTAACCTTGGCCAGCGGTTCTGCAGACAGATGGCCTGCATCTACTGTGACATGGTCTTCCCTTTTTTTTTGTAAATTCAGGAACCTGCATGAGATTTGCTGGATCTCAGCTCAGAGACCTGAAAGAGACTGGAGCTGCCTCCCTGGGGCTAAATGAGCAAGTGCGCTCTGAGTGGGTGGGGTAAAGGATGCTCTCTATTCAGCCTGGCCTGGTCTTGTGCCCCTCACAAGGCAGCTCCCAAGTCACAATGACTGTTTTCCTTGACCAGATGTCACCTGCAGTGTCAACCTCTGATACCCCACAGCCTAGGGGGCTATATCCTTTAGGCTGCCAAGGCCCTGACAAAATGAGCCAGGAAATGCTCTTCCCTGATCAGAAATGTCACGGACTGACCTGTAAAGTGAATTACACAGCAACAGCCCGACTGAATCCTAAATGCCATTCTCCTGAGAGAGGGACGTGCTCTGGTTTTCCTCCATTTCTGCACCTGCTGGCCTAAACTACCCCAATCCCCGGGCTCACGTCTTGGTGAGTGGAGACAGAGAGAAAGAGGGAGAATCGAAAAAGAGTTAGTCTGGAGAAGTTATCAGAGAAATGCAAGACATCACAGACAGGCTGTTGTAAATGCTCACCACATTGGATCAACACGGTCAGTGTCCCTGCAAGGAGGGGAGAAACAGCTCAATGGGGATGCTGTGGAAAGCCCCAGAGAAGGGGGTACTTGGGGCTGCTAAGACTCCGGAGCCCGGAGGCCAGAGGCTTTCAGAGCTGGCTTTGCTCCTGCAGGGAAGCCAACCACTGCTGCTCATGGAATTTTCCAGTTCAAAAAGAGCATCAATCCTTCGACCACTGTGGTCACCTCGAGGGGCCGAGCTGCTTCTCCCACTCTTTTTAGATTATTCCAGTCAACCTGCTCAAAGCGATCACGGACCGACTTGGTCATTAGGTGTTTAAAGGATGGTAATCCCGAGAAAGAAACCTTCAGCTGCTGAGTGTCTCTCCCCTCTTGGGCTCAGATCTAGCTGGCCAAGCTGAGTGAGAAGGACCAGAAGGCAGGGGCAGGAAATAAGTCCTAAGGGGCCATGTGGGGCATGGTGGCAAGAAGCCTGAACTGGCATCAGGAGACCTGGGCTGGTGTCTAGTCTCTGCCTAGAGACTGACTTCAGCCAGGGGACCAAGGATCCCCCTCCATCCTAGAGGGTCCCACGTACCTCTAATGCTCTAGGCTCTCATCTAGGTCCTGCTCACCTCTGACCTTCCATGCATTGCACACTATCGGATACAACGTGGGCCCTCAAACAGTAATGTTTGTTGACTACGGGACCTTTGCCTCCTAACATTCCACGTCCTGAGTTCCTTCCAGTTTGTCCTAGACTCCATTGATGCTCTAAGGGAGCACCCTGAATTCACTCCTCTGTGTCTACAATCAGTAGCGAGAAGAACTAAGGGCCAGGAATCCAGGTGGCTGTGCAGGTCCCGGGGGGGGGGGTGCGCTGAGGTCATAGGGAGAAAACCCAGCCTCATCTCTTCTCTGAGCTGCTTTCATCTTTCAATGTGTTCAGGAAGGGAAACAAAAGAGCAACAGCAGAGCAATCTCAAACACAGAGGCAAAGAACAGGAGTCCACAACAATCCTGTGAAGCCCAGAAACTCAGCAAAGACACAATGTGGCCTGGAGGAAAAGGCCCAGAATCCAGCAGGAGGAAGGAGAGGGGGACATCCTGCAAAGAGGCTCACCACGGCTCCCTCGATGCTGAGCAAAGGGAGAAGGGATGGCTGGCACCTGGGCCTCCTGACCACAGAAGGAAGTGCGGTGGCAGTACAAAGGAGGAAGGGATTTTATACTAGAAAGCAGGGGAAGGAGGAAGACGGATGGTGGTTCTCATTTTTTTCACTTGGTAAGAAAACAAAGAGGGCCGTTGCACGATTTTAAAATCCACAGGAAGTTGGTGTGACCAAGGTGGGGCACACACACAGTGCGTGATCCCGAGATCACGGAAGCAGAGGCTCTGAGTGGGTGCCGGGGCCACTCTGCAAAACCCAGCCAGTGCACGCCAAAGGGGCATGAGCACCTGGGATGGCCCAGGGCAGGGTGGCAGTGGTTACCTGCAATGGTGCTTCCTGCTGGCAAGCCAGAAGGCACTGTCGCAGCCATAGCAGTGAGCGGCCAGGTGGTCAGGGAGCCAGCGGGTCATCTGTGGGACAAAGACAGAGTCAGGTTAGCCTAGGGACGCTGGTGTTTGGCCTGAGAGGGCCAAGACAAGGCAGAGGAGAGTAAGGGTTGATGCTGCTTCCTCCAGCTCCGACTTGAGAGATTTGGAGTCATCAATAAAGGAAAGGTGTCCAAACCATCTCCACCAAATTCCCCTCAGAGAAAAGAAGTAGCCAAGAGCTCCCCGGTTCCCTACTCCAGCCTGGGCCCATGCAGGCCCATGACAATGAGTGCCTAGCATGTGGGTGTGTTCTGCTGATTCTCAGAGAGTGTGGAGCTAGAAAGCTGGCAGCTGAAGGCACAGCGCTGAGGTGCCCGGGTTGGTGCCGTGCTGTGCCAGGGGGTCCTGCCCTAATGAAAGGGGGCTGGGGAGATCACAAACAGCTCGACGGTTAGCAGCACAGGGAGTGAGTCTGTACCTCTGTGTCCTGTTTATCCACCTGCTCCCAGCTGGCTTCAGAGAAAATCTCTGTGCTGCAGCAAGACAAGCAGCTCTGATCCACATTGCTTTCCGAGTCAGGGATTGAGGTCTGTTGGCAAACAAACACAGCTGAACAGAACGAACCGGTCCCTCCTCCCCAGGGAACAAGGAAGATGCAGGGGCAGCTAGGGGAGCTGGGGGGCCAAGATGCACTTGCTTTGGGGGCTGCTGACCTCTGGAAGCACCAGTTAAATGGCGTGTGGGTCACGGCCCTGTGGGAGGCTTAGAGAAGGAGCAGGGGGGCCAGGACAGCTAAGTGTTCAGTGCGCTTTGCTTCTGGGCCGAGGTAACCCTCAATGAGTGTGATCTCCCTTGGGATGGTGGAGCTGGAGTAGGAAGGGAGGGTGAGCTGTGTTCGCAGGGGGCATGAGCCTCTGGGTGGGCTAGAGCCAATGCATCCAGGCCTAAATCAAAGCGAGTGCTTTGTGCCTGACCTCCTTTCTCTGAGGGATCCTTGGGAAAATGAGAATCCGTCAACATGAGACAAAGACTGAAAAGTCACTTTCACTTGGAAATGTTGGACAAACCCGCCTTTAATGAACGCATGCTTACAATCCCAGAGTCAGGGCAGGGCAGGGCGCTCTGGCTCCTCCCTCATCGGTGACACAGTGTGACCACCCGGGCAGGGGACAGTGAGTCCACTGAATGAAGGCCTTCCTCCTTGGCAAGACTATGTGGTGCTAACCCCCACAAACTACACTGTTCTCAGGAGCACCAGTCCTTCTCAGTGAGCCTCAGGAGACATCTGCACACGCAATGACTCCGGCTGTCCTCAAGTCCCACTCAAAGAATGCCCCCCCCCACCCAGAGATGCACGCAGGATGGAGCAGAATAAGCCGACAGACGGATGCGACTGCGGCAGCCCTGGTACAGGCCGGCCGGGGGCCTCTTTGGCCCTCGCTCCCTTGTGGCCTTGTCCTCAATATTTGCCTTGGGGAGAGCCCCTTCAGGAAACAGGCTGCTGCTGTGGCTCCTTACCAATCCCCCCGCCTCTGAGCAGGAGAGGCGCCAGGCCCTGGGCCAGAGCCCAGTCTCTGCAGGCGGCGCTACCTGATGAGGCCCAACATACTCACCACTTCATCCCCAAAGTCCCCATTGAAGCGCAGGGAACTGTTCAGGTACTGACTCTCCAGGCGGCTTCTCAGCTCCTGCACCTGCTTCTTCAAGGTCTCCACTTCCTGCTGGTGGCCCGTTTCGATCTGGCGCAAGCGCTGCTGAATGGCGTCCGCGTAGACGGGCATGCCGTCGTCATCCAGGTGACTGCGAGTGGGCTGGTCTGGACTGCCAGCTGCCAGCTGCCTGCCCGGCTGGCCCTGCAGCCACTTGGGGTGTGTGCTCCGCAAGGGGAGCTGGCCAGAGCCGCCGCTCGTGGCGGATACCCGTCGGCTCCAGGGCCCTGTGACCCGACTGCGCTCTGCGTCCAGACAGTGTCCATTCGGGGCAGGGTATCTCTGGGGCACCGTCAGCCCCACAGGGTGCTCTGTGGCCTTGTTCTCCATCTCCAGGTCTCCATTGCAGACAATCTCCTCTTTACATTCAGCTATGGGCAAGGCACAGGAAGAAGGCATTGGGCTGTGTGAAGTCCTGGGTACTCTGGATCCCGCCCTGGCCCTGTCCCCCAGGGGTGCCCCATCGGCTCGAGAAAGCTCATCACCCCCGCTCTCCGGGAGGCAAGGTCTGTGACCAGGCCCTAAGGGGAGCTGGTCTACTCTGGCCTCCCCTTCTGTTAACGTTTCCACAGAGCTTTCCACAGCGGGTGGTCTTGCTCCTAGCGGGACTGCTGGGGGCAGGGAGATGTCACAGGGAATCTCGGGGGGCCGTAGGGCTTGATGGCTGTCTGCATCCACACTGTTGTTCCCAGGCCCTTCCCCAGGCCCTTCCAGCAGGCTGTCCCTCTTAGGGGGCTCCTGGCTATGGCTCAGCAGAGCCCCAGGCTCATCGGCGTGCCCAGGGAAACCTGTCAACAACTGATGTGTGCTGTTTCCTGGAGAAATCATCAGAGCCGCCAGGGCCATCTCTGGTTTCTTACAGAACTCTGTATCCTCCCGTTGGCTCTTCTTATCCAGGAGGGCCTCCTCTTTGGTTTCTGCCCCCTCAGTGCTGCTCCTGGGGGGGGCCTCCTCCAGCACCCCGTCCTCTTTAGTGGCCTCCTGCAGGATGTTTTCCATCTGCCCTTCTGCTACACCAGCAGCGACTGAGAGTTCAGCTCCCCCCAAGGCCTTGGCCTGTCTGCCCAGACTGTCCCCATCACAGGGCTCCTCCCCCGGGCTGCCCAGGCCACTCAGCTCTAGGGAGCGCCGATGTTCCTGCCACCTCTCGTTGAGGCTGGGGTCGCTGCTGCGCCGGCTGGTCGGGGGCACGCTGCTGTCGCAGACTGTCGTCAGGTTGTCAAATGACCGCGTCTTTGGTAGCCTGGCAAGGGAGAGTGAGTGGAGATTAGAAGCTCACTAAGAGGATCCCTGTAAGGACATGAAGAGGCAAGAGTGACTGGTGGTCACTATTGCACCCGAGTCTGTTCCAGCAGCACCAGAGGCGGGGGCCACTCGTACAAGAGGACGAGTGTCTGGGCCCTCACAAGGCCCGCATCATGGGCTCCTCCAGCATGCCCCACTCATCTGGTGAGCCCTTGACTGCAGGGATCCTCACTCACCCTCAACCCTCCAGTTCTCTTGAGAAACGTCCCTGATGGTCTAGTTGTGTGATGGTGATGGGCCAGTGAGAAAGGAATGCAGGAGTGTAGGCTTGGAAAGAAGTCTGGACAGAAAAATCCAATGCTCTACAACTGTGAGGAGGTCTGAATGAACTTGAGACCATACTTGGGTGCCCATGACAAACTTCTGAGCTTCAAATACTGCATCTGCCTCTCAAACCCAAATGGAGTAAGTTAAGCAAAAGGGAGCGTGCATGCGTGCGTGCGCGCAGACATTACTGACACACAGCAAGAGTCATTCAGGAATCAGCTGACCACACAGCACTACAAGGACTGAAAACTCCTGAGGGAGCAAGACGCCCAGAAACAACTTTGATTAGATTGTTTCATGTGGATCTGAAAGGCGCCTTGGCATTTCTGCAGAACTCTGAAAGCTGAAGACGCTGATGGGCCCCCAACAAGCCTCCAGTGTCCCAGGTCATCCCCACCCCTCTCCTTCTACATTCACATCGACAGCCACACACTGGCCCTGACAGCCAATGGCTCACCTACTCAGAGGCTGATCTTCAGGACTGGCACCGGGGACTGGGTATGGAGCACAGGTATCATCGGCAGGCGTGGAAGGGGAGGGACACGGAAGGTACACGGCACTCCAGAGCATTAGGTTTCGCACATGGCACACTGGATACAGCACCTGAAGGGGAACAAAGGGGAGCACGTGCTGATGCGACTTGCTGACGTTTGGCGGAAAAGTCCCAATGGGGCTAGAACGTACTCTAAAATCAGTGAAATGGAAGCTTCCATTGGTGTTGGGGTTTTTTTGTGTTTTTTTTTTTTTGGTGAGGAGATTGGGGTTAAGTGACTTGCCCAGGGTCACACAGCTAGTTAAGTGTCAAGTGTCATGATGTCGGATTTGAACTCAGGTCCTCCTGACTCCAGGGCTGGTACTCTATGCACTGTGCCAGCTAGCTGCTCCTTTTTTTTTTTTTAAATATGAGGCAATTGGGATTAAGTGACTTGCCAAGGGTCACACAGCTAGTGAGAGTTACATGTTTGAGTCCAGATTCGAACTCAGGTCCTCCTGACTCCAGGGCCAGTGCTCTATCCACTGCACCACCTAGGCAGCTGACTGGAATGAAGAGAGCACCAGACTCGGGAGGGACAAGACTCATCTTGGTGCCTGGCTTCTAGCAACGTAACACTGGGAAAACCTCTTCCCTTTGAAACTGCTGACTGGGAAAAAGCCTTCATGCTAATTTTCTCTGATTAAGATTTCCCTCTCAAGATATATACGGAACTGAATCACTAAAAATTAGAAAAATGCAAATTAAAACAACTCTGAGGTGCCACCTCACACACATATCACACTGGCTAATATGACAGAAGAGGAAAATGACAAATGATGGAGAGGATATGGGGAAAATGGGACACTGATGCATTGCTGGTAGAGTTGTGAACTGATCCAACCACTCTGGAGAACAATTTGGAATTGTGCCCAAAGGGCCATAGAACTGTGCTACCCTTTTACCCTGAAATACTTCTATGAGGACCGCATACCAAAAAGATCAAAGAAAGAAGAAAAGGACCTATCTGTACAAAAACATTTACAGCAGCTCTTTTTGTGGTGGCAAAGAACTGGAAATTAAGGGGATGCCAATCCATTGGGGAACAGCTGCATGGTAGATGACTGTGATGGAATTTATTGTGCTATAAGAAATGATGAGCTGGATGCTCTCAGAAAAACCGGGGAAGACTTAAATGAATTGATGCAAAGTACAGTGAGCAGAAGCAGAAGAACACTGCACACAGCAACAGCAACAGCAACATGCTATGATGATCAACTCTGAATGACTCAGCTACTCTAATTAAGACAGTGATCCAAGAAAATTCCCAGAGTCTCATGAATAAAGATGCTTTCCATCTCCAGAGAGATAACTGATGCATTGGGAAGCAGATTTTTCCTTCACTCTCTCTTTCTTGCTTTTTTCTCTTCTCAACATGGCTAATATGGAAATATATTTCTTGTCTTCTGAATGAGTAGAGGAGGGAGAATTTGGAACTGAAAATAATTTTTTTTAAAGATAAATGCAAAAAATGAAACATATGAGATTACAGGAAAAAAAAAAGATATTTAAGGTACAGATTCAAACTTACAAGGATCAAGAGCCATTCCCCAACCAGCAAATCACCAAAGGATATGAATAGGTGCTTTCAAACAAAGAAATTCAAGTTACCAATAAATAGCCCTATGAAAAAATTTTCCAAATTGCTAATAATTAGAAAATGCAAAACAAATCAACTCAGAGATTCTATCTCACACTCATCAGATTGGCAAAGATAACAAAAAAAGGAAAATTACAATTACTGGAAAGGTTGTGAGAAACAGGAACATTAACACCCTATTGGTGGAGTTGTATGACAGTATTAGTCATTCTGGAAAGTGATTTGGATCTATGCCTCAAAAGTTACAACCCAGCAATGATATGAGTAGGCCTACACCCCGAAGGCACAGGCGGGTGGGAGAATAAGCATTTATTAAGTACCCCCTATGTGCCAAGCACTATGCTCAGTGCTTTATAATCATCATGCCAGGTGATCCTCACAACTGCGCTCTGAGGTAGGTGGTATTATTACCCCCATTGTATAGTTGAGGAAACTGAGGCAAACAGGTTAAATCACTTGCTCTGTGTCACACAGCTAGCAAGTGGCTGAGGCTGGATTTGAACTCAGGTCTTCAGGCCACTAGAAATGACAAAAGGGACAGTTTCAGAGAAACCTTGGGAGACTTGCAAGTATTGACGAGAGCCAAGTGAGGAACAGAACCAGGAGAACAATTTAGACACAAACAATAACACTGTAAAAGACAAAGCTGATAAACGTTGAAAGACTCTGATCAATGCCCTGACCAACAACCATGCCAGAGGTCCCATCAAGACCCAGAGGTGACGGGCTCCCAATGAGACACGGCCAATGTGGGAAGCTGTTCTGCTCGACTATGGATGTTTGTTACGAGGCTTTTGCTTTTTGCTTTTTCTTTTCTATGAGGAGGGGGGTGAGACAAAGTTTAAAAAAAAAAGGATACACTTCTTCTTCAGAAAAAGTAAGAAGAGGTTTAGCTTTGAGATCCTCTGCAGTTCTAAATCCCGCCCACTCTAGCCTGTGCTGTTTCCTGACCATAAAAATCCAGTGGAAACACCAGCTCCAGGCCTGTTGTCCTTTGGCCAGCTAAGTCTCCGTAGCCCAGAGTGGAAGCCATCTGGATGGCCACATGCCACTGTGAGATCTCACGAGGACAGGAAAATGTGATGCTTTTCCTTTACTACTTCACAAGTCATCTGTATCAGACAACACGCCCATGTCACCAGCCAGAATTATAAATCTACGTTACACGGCCTCAGCTGAGCCCTCACTGCTGCTCGGCGATCCGTGTCTTAGCCCCTTGCTTCCCAGCTCTCCACAGAGGCTCTTAAGGCCCTTTTCACCCCTCCTCCAATCTCCATGACGCCCCGTTCTCCTTCTGCCTCAGCTGAGAACCTTGGGAATCTCATATTTTACAGACAACATATGAGGCCATTTCCCATCCACTTCCCCTCCCCTCTTCCTCATCTCACTTCACACACGTCCATTTCTCCTCCTTTACCTCGGTCTCACATGAAGAGGCAGCTTTACTCCTTACCAGGGTTAACCTCTCCTCCTGTTCAAGTGGTTCCATTCCATCCCATTTCCTCCAACAGATGCTTCCCTCTGTCATCCCAACTCTTTCATTTATTTTCTTTCTTTCTTTTTTCGGTGAGGCAATTTGGGTTAAGTGACTTGCCCAGGATCACACAGCCAGTGTCGTGTGTCTGAGTCTGGATTTGAACTCAGGTCCTCCTGACTCCAAGGCCAGAGCTCTATCTACTGTGCCACCTAGCTGCCCCTCTTTCACTTATTTTCAATCTCTCCCTCTCTACTAGTTCCTTCCTGACTGACTACAAACATGTCCAGGTCTCCCCTATCTCGAAAAAACCCTCACTTGATCCTTTCATCCCGGCTATCACACTATATCTCTTCTACCATTGGTAGCTAACTCCACAAAGAGGCCATCTACAATAGATGCCTTCACCTTTTCTCCCCCTATTCTCTTCTTGACCCCCTTGCCATCCAGCTTCCAACCTCATCACTCCACCAAACTGCCCTCTCCAAAGGTACCAATGATCTTTGAGTTGCCAAGTCCAAGGGCCTTTTCTCCATCCTCATTCTCCTTCACCTCTCTTTGGCCTCTGACATGGTTGATCACTCTCTCCTCCTAGGTTTCTGGGACACCTTTCTCTCTCCCTTTTTGTCTCTCTCTTTCTGTCTGTCTCTCTCTTCCTCCCTCTCTCCTGATTTTCCTTCTAGCTCTATGACCCCGCCTTCTCTGTCTCCTCCTCCAGATCACCCCCTCACCCTACGTGTCCCCCAGGGTCCCGCCCTGGGTCTTCTTCTTTTCTCTTTCTATACTACTTCATTGGGTGATCTCATCAGCTCCTCTGGATTTACTTACCATCCCTACGCTGATGATTCTCAAATATTCCTATCCTGTCCTAATCTCTCTGCCGACCGCCAGTGACTCATTTCCGACTGCCTTTCAGACATCTCAAGCTAGATGTTCAGTAGACATCTTAAATCCAACATGTCCAAAACAACTCATGATCTTTTTCCCTATGCCCTTTCCATTCCTACCTTCCCTCCTGCACTGCTCATTGTCTCTCATCCCTCAAATCCACACTGTGGTCAAGGCCTGTCAATTCACCTCTGCAGCACCTGGACCACTGCCATAGCTGCAGGGGAGCTGCTGCCTCCGGTCCACTTGGTATTCAGCCACTCACATGATTTTCCTAAAGTGCAGGTGGCCCTGTGTGGCTCTTCCATAATTATATAAATAATAGAGCTTCCAGGACGAACTCCACAGGCCCCTATCTGGTGTCCAGTTCTCAGCTCTGGGCATTTTCCCTGGCTGGCCCCCATGCTTGGAGTGTATTCTTCCTCATCTCCACCCACTGACTTCCTTGGTTTCCTGAATGCACGCCAACCATGCCGTCTCCTCCAGGAAGCCTTCCCCTCTTTGGTCTAGTGCCTCCCTTCTCTTCTGTTCCTTCCTATTTCTCCTCTAAAGGGCATGTCCATATATAAGTGTTAGCTTGTTGTCTCTCCTATTAGACTATTAGTTAGCTCCTCTTTTTGTCTCCCTGGCACACAGCAGGAGCCTAATCAACGTTTACCAACCGACAACAAAATTGACGGCTTGAGAAAGGGGGTGTCTGCTCTACCATGACTGTCATTTCCCTCGGCACACAAGTTGGCCTTCCACATGAGTTCACAAAACACAGTTAAGTCTGTTTTACAGGATTCCTTAAATGAATCACGGTGAAAGAAGGCCCTTTGCTCCTGTTCCTCTCCCAGCAGATCCCATGAAAGCAGGAAGGGGGTGGAAGCGGCAGGGACAGCTGGCTTCAATCTATACTGTGATGGCTGGGATCTAGCGATAAGCATATTAAAGAGCCAACAAAGCCAGCCAGCTCCTCTGAGGAGCCTCCTTGACTCCTCCTCAGAGCTGAAAAAAGCCCTCTGACAAAGGGAATATTATCACAGCTTAATATCCCCATCACGACTCCCTTTCTTGGCTTACCACCCTTTCAAGAGGGCTGTTACCTTTGGGGTAAGGGCGGGAACCAGCGCTGAAAACGGTCACTGTCATGATCTTTTCTACAAATCAGCCCAGAACCTCAATCTCTCTTTCTTGGAGTTTGAGCGCACACAGACGCAGACATGTGTGCACACACACACCCCTATACAGAGACATCCTCCCCTACACACAACAGACACAGAAACCACAAGACAAAGGCTTAGAGACACACCCACAGAGTCAACTCGTAATTTCTGCTTTTCATTTTGAAGATACAAAAAGATCACTGTAGTAACTAGAATAACCTGCAGCCAGGGGAAGGCATCCCGAACTGGAAGGCAGCCCCATCCTGTGTGTGATGTGAGAACAAATGCAGTGATGGGCTGAGCTCCCTCTGTGGGCCGTAGGACCAGACACACGAGGCAGAGCCAGAGGCTCAGTCAAGGCCGTCTGACCCCCGTGGCGCAGTCTGGGGCCATGAAGCCTCGCACTCTAGGCCTGGCTTGCCATCTTTAGTCATTCACAAAGGGAGACCCATAATGGGCCTCCCTTTTGACCTCAGTACTCTAAGGATAAAAACACTCACTTGGCCTGCTTCGGAGAACTGCTGCGCTACAGACTAGAACACGCTTTACGTAGCAGCCAAGTCTCTATAAACATGGTTATCACCGGGGGGGGGGTGTCAGACATGAAGTGGATTCTGCTCACAACCACGGTCTTTTCAGGAAACAGGCACTAAATAGAGAGAAGGGAGCCAAGGGGGAGCACCCTGGTGCCCCGCACTCCTTCTGGCTGCCCCCGCCCCTGAGCCTTCCCTGTGAGTCTCTGGGGAAGGCCAAGACATACGCACAGTTTCTGACTGCGAAGAATAGAGCAGGTTCTTGAAGGCCTTGTTGGCCGCCCGAAGCAGAGACCAGACGGAGCAGGTCCGTTCCTGAGTGTGTTTTTCTCCTCTCTCCTTCGCATTGTTGCACAGGAATGTTCCAAAGAGGCAAGAGTAGGTGTGTTGTACCAACTTGACCTGCAGAGAGCCACCAGAGCAGCGTCAAGAGGGGCAAGGCGGGCCACCGCCCTCGTTCAGCCCTCGCCTGACCCAAAGCACCCCCAGGGACCACTCTGTCCTCCACTCCCGTGAAGGTGGGCCCAGATCCCCCCAACCTCGTGTGAGGAGCCCAGCTCAGCCCCAAAGACTGTCCGTGTACCCTCATCTTCAACACGGATCACTCCTGAGCCACAACCGAAGGCCCAAAGACACACAGAGAGGTCACAGAGCGAGTTCTGAACCAAACGGAAGGTCTGCTGTACTCAGAATCTCACCACAGGGAAAATGACCTCTTTCTCTACCAAAATCAAGAATAAATCAGGAGCCTCTTGCTACATAAACCTCAAGCAGCCTCAGTGCCATGAAACAGGAGGGCTAACTGTAGCCCCAGAGAAAACACGCCAAACCATGCTATTGTTAATGGTGTTCACTGGATCTCTTCTCTAATTTTGCTAAGTCCTAATAAAAGTCACAGACATTAGAACTGAAAGTGATCCCTGACTTCCTGTCTGCCTCCCCCACCCCCACATAAAAATGGTCTGGCGAGAGGAGAGCCGGTGTGGGGGTCGGACAGCTGGGGCTCCCGATGGGAAGGCCACTCGAGACCGCCTCCAGGGGGTGCGTCCTGGAAAGCAGCACCTCCTCTGCTACAGACCCAATGGGAAGCCCCGGCTCCTACAGTCTCAGGCAACCATGCTCAACAAAGCCCAGACTCTATGACAACAGACAGTGGCCACAGCCACGAGGAGACAGAATGATGCTAAATGCTCCCGTGACACCTGAAGGTCTGCAAGGATCCTGGGGACTGGGAGGTGAGGAGACAGAAGCCCACCCGCCCTGCCCTGCCCCCGAGGGTCCCAGAGACCATCTGTGAGCACTGCCAAGGTGAAGGGCTTGCCCTGAGCAGTGTCTAGCTGTGGCAGAACTCACACCCAGTCAGGCCTTCCTAACTCTCTCTTCACTCCACCAAGGTGCCTCATTTCTCTCTCTGTCTCACACACACACACACACCATATGCAATGGGGTGGTAGTGTTATGTCTCTAAATTTTTGTTCAATCCTTCCCCAATCGCTCTGTGGCGTAGTTACTAAAGGTATCATTCCTCTCCTTTTACAGATGAGGAGAACTTGGCTGATCTGCAGCAGGCAAACCCTCTTCCTCTCCCTCGCAGCACACTTCTCTCACAAGGGCAAGCCGCAATCCAAGTGGAGAAAGAGCACGCCATGTCCTCTTACTGCACCTTCCAGTGACCATTCACCTGGGTCCCCCAGGCTGTGTCAGTGATCATGCGGCTAACTTAGTTTTAGAGTTCTGCCTTTGTACCTGCCCTCCTCCTACGCTGCCCTTTTCTGGTGAGTCCCCCCCAAGTGGCAATGACATTTAACAGGAAAGAGAAAAAGAGTTTCTCCTGCCCCCCCCACACCGTTCTCAAGCCTGCAGCCCCACCTAATCAGAGAGCCCCAGACTCACAAGGAATGCTTCATTGAATTCAAAAGAGCAAGGGAACTGCCTCTGGAGCTGGTGGACACAGTCCAGCCACTGCAGAAACACAGGACAACGCTCATTCAGATCATCCGAGTTTTCTCCATGGCCACAGCGATCGGCAAACTTATGGCCAAAATCCAGCCATTCCATCTCCACGAGCACCTGGAAACCCTGGGGGGAGAGAAGCAGATCCGTCACTGCTGCTTGGTCAGGGGAAGCTCCATCTTTTCCCTTTCACATCCTCAAAGTGGAACTTGACAGTCACTGGACGGGCTCCCCCAGCCCCAGGATTTACCTGCCCTGACAAGCCAGCTCCTGTTAACCCAAATTTCTTAGATACTTCCCCTAATTGGGCCCAGTAAGGTAAACAGTATTTCTGGAGTCACAGTGCCCTGGACACATGACATTTTCCTGGGGTGACCCTCCCTTCTTCTCGGCAGGCCAGGCGCCCAAAGCAAACAGGTCCCGACCCCCTCTGGCTGTCTGATATGGGGAGAGCACAAGTCACTGCCGATACCACCACATAACCCTGTACGGGACCAAAGCAAATGAGGATGAATGGAAACGCAGCTGCCACAACCTCCACAGTGATTCACTGTCATTCTTCCATTCATCCAGTGCCCAGAAGGTTCAAGGCCCCAGAGGAGGAGATACAGAGACAAATTCAGCTGCTCGCTGGCGGGAGGTCAGGGGGAGGGAAGGCAGGTATACAGATAACTAATACAAAGGAGAATCTGGAAAGGGAGAACAATCTGCTCCACAATCAGAGGAGGGAAAGATCGCCTCTACCTGAGGAGACCAGGGAAGGCTTCATGGTAGAAGCATCACTGGAGCTGGGCTGTAAAGGATAAGGAAGATGCCACACACAGATGGGAGACGCCAGCAGAGGACGGCTTGAACAAAGGCACAGAGATGAAGAGGGAGCTGCATTCAGAGGAGGACGAGTGCTCTAAGCTAGACTGTAGCTATGTGACAGGGGGTTGGCATGGGATGTCAGCAAAGGGCGCTAGGAGTTCATCCAAAAGGCAGTGGGGGGCTCTTAAATCAAGGGTGGGGAACCTGCAGCCTCAATGCCACAGGTGGCCCTCTAGGTCCTCAAGCGTGGCCTTCTGACTGAGTCCAAACTTCACAGAACAAATCCCCTTCATAAAAGGATTTGTTCTGTAAAGCTCAGACTCAGTCAAAAGGCCACGCCCAAGGACCTATAAGGGCACATGTGGCCTCGAGGCTGCAGGTTCCCACCTGTCTTGAATGCTCCCGAGAGGAGGAATAGTGACAGGCACTGAAGGCCAAGCCAGCAGCCACAGAAGGCTTCCCCCTGCAAGAACCGACCCCCACCTTGGACAACAAACCTGTCTCTCCATACACACCTCTATGGTTCGGTAGTAGGGATCAAGCAGGAGCTTGGAGAGTGCCACGATCTGGGGGGTCCGATCCCAGCCATCAGAGCAGTGTACCAACACTGGCCGCTGATCACGGTCCACGGCGTGGACAACCAGCAGCGCTGACTTCAGCAGCACTGAGAGGTGCTGCAGCCACTTGGTACTTTCGAGAGCAGAAAGCCAACTAGAGAGACAGAGACAGATATGGGATGACGGGAGCACTCAGGCCTGGCCGTTTCCTGCAACAGGCCTACAAACACAGCAAATTAAAGAGCAAAGACAAGTTATTTTGTCCCTTGAAATGCTGAACAATCGAACAAGAAACTGGAGTATCATCCATGAGTGGGCTCTAGGGCAGGGATCTTGCCTGCATCCCCACACTAAGAGGAGGTCAGGAACAGGCACAAGTCATAATGTACCAGGGCCCTCCAGGAGACTCAGTGAGCAGAGGAGGCTGGGCCTCCGAGAGAGGTTCGTGGCCAGGGCAAATCCTGGGGCCATGAGCCTCACAGCCCACCCTGAAACTCAGCACAGCTTGTGGCCTGGCCTGCAAGCACTGTGTGCAGGACTGGGAACAGCACAGCAGTGCCTCTGGTCTTTTGGGGGAGCTCTCCCATCCCAAGTGCAGCCAGACAAACAAAACGTTATCCCAGTTCCAACTTCCTCTGCACATTCTTGCTCACTCTGGAGCTAATTAGCTCCTGGGCAGACATCATCATCACCATCATCATCATCATCACCTGTTTATCATCAACTGAAGGTGGACATGAGGGCTGTCCTCAAATATTTGGAAGGCTGTCTGTGGAAGTGGGGGAGGGGGTTGGCTCATTCTGCTTGGCCCTAAAGGGCAGGACCACAAGAAGCACCTTGACTGTAGAGCAAGCCCTCGGCGGACCAGGAGGAGAGAGGCATTGAGAGTGTGCGCTCCTCCACTTACACAGGCCAGGCCTGGCTCCTCCCTGGCGACCTCCCGTAGGACAAGGGCTGTGGGAACCCCCAAGAACTCTCATCACGGGAGCTGCCCAGACCGCACAGGCAGCGTGATGTGGTGGCAAAAGGCAGGCACAGAGAAGAGGAGGGTGGGGTGCCAAGACCAGCCCTGACACATTCTGCAGGACCACCACCGGCAAGTCACGCCAAGTCTCAGAACCTCCACTTCCAGCCAGCTCCTAAAAATGCCAGACGCCGATGTCAGCAAACACACCAGCCCATCTTGGACACCTCTCTGAACCTCAGTTTCCTCATCTGTGGAGCAGGGAGGATCCTTTCACCAGATGATTTACAGGCCTGTGTCACAGAAATGTAAGCTGGCATTGACTAGCACCAACTCTGCCCCTAGATCATCTCATCATGTCAGAGCCCAGTCCTTCACCTTACGGACTCTCTCTCAGGAGTCAGAAAGGACTTTCTCCAACCTCGCTAACAAGTGGTCACCCAGCCTGTGCTTGAAGACACTCTCCGAGTGGAAGTGCCCTCCCTCCTGAGGCGGCCAAGCCACGTGTGCTAACGCTCCACGTTAGGCCGTCGCTTCTGATACGCGGCTTCCTCCTATTCAAGGAGGAATGTTCTGCCGGACATTTTCCTCCCCATGTCCAAGCTTCCCCATTTCTGCTGATGGCCCTCCATCTTTCCAATCCCTCGAGTTCAAAACCTTGGAGTCTCTAGTCTAGCCCTCCCCATCCCTCCTCACCTATCCAGTGTGATGGGACCTGTGGCTCTCTCTCTACCCTGTCCCTTCAGAGCTTTCTAACTCCTCCCCAGCCTAGTCTCTCCTCTGCATAGCTGCCACAGAGAGAGGCCTAAAACAGTTAGGAACAGTTTTACTCTTCTCTGCACAAATCTCTACTGGCTTCAGCGTGGCTCCTCCTCCTCCCTGCCTGGCCAGGCTTATTTCACTCCACTGTCCCCTTCAAGCACCCCCCACACCAGGCACAGTGGCCTACTGCCTCTTCCTGAACAACAGTCCATTGCCCAGCTCGATGCTCCTTTGGGAAATGTGCTCCTCCCTCACCTCCATTACGCTAAATCCAAGCATGAGCCACCTCCGAGACAAAATCTTCCATGACACTTCCATGCCCACACTGTATTACTGTGACCAGGAAACTGCGCTGGACCCAAGGAGCAGCAGGATGACAGTGAAAACCCGCCTGCCTCCTACCCTCAAACCATCAGCCTTGTTCAGACCACTGTGGACCCATCTTCTGCCACCTGGGACTGGCCACCTGCATTCCCTTTGTGACCCTTTCTCCTGACCCAAGTTCATCTGACTAGACATTGTGGCCCGTGCAGAGCCTGTGGGGTCCTGAGCCACGCTGGGAAGTCTGGGGGGCAGAGGAAGGCTCTCGCTAGAACCCTCGGTGCTCATCAGGCTCCAAGAGCAGGCCCGCCGAGAAGACTTTGTCACAGCGCTGCTGGACGTTCAGTTTCTCCACCAAAGCCTGGTTCTACCTGACACTGCTGGGCTGTTTACTACCATGATGACCTGAACCGAATGCTGGCCAGGTGGCCTTGGTTCCAGCCACCCAGGCCATCATGCCTGACCCTGCCTCGTCAAGCATCTCAGCAAGGAGGAAGTGGACCCCTGTGGTCCCTGGCCAGGCCTCTCTGCTCCCTCAGGCAGCACACTGAGCCTCATGGGAAATGGAGGAGGGGAAGGGTTAGCAGGCTTCTGTCAGGGTTCTCTTGCAAACAGGCTCTCCTTTCATCAGTGCTATTCAAACAGTCAATGAGAACGAGCACAGCTGGTCTGCCAAGGTGCGAGTTCATCAAACTCCTCTGCAGCTCTCATAATCCAAAAATGTTAAGGAAAGCTCTTGGCCAGTAAAGGGGAGGCAGGCACACTGATTCACCTAACAGCTGGAAATCACCACGGCCAGCCCACAGCAGAACTCACTGCTCCGCGGTGAGTCTGGGGAAGTTTCAGGCTAACGCTGGCTGGCCAGCACTGCCTCAGAAGTAACTCCTAGAAAAGAATGAACTTCCCTTCTCTCTGGGACAGAGCCTACGTGAACCAAAGCATGTCAGGAGGAAGGGAAATGCTAGTATTTGAATGATGCCAGTGTCTAATGCCATGGAGAAAGGTCTGGAGAACTCTGAGTCCTAGTGGTGACAATGGCTGACTGAGAGACCCTGAGCAAGTCATTTCATTCTCTTAGCCTCAGTTTCCCTGTGTTAAAGTGTAGTAATGCCAGCACCACCTGGTTCACAATGTTGTGGTGCCTCTCAAATGTGGGTGAGGTAGACTTGGCAAACATCAAGGGCCTCAGAGATAGGAGCTGTTGGGATAAACTCCCCTTGGCCAAAACAACACCAGCAGAAGATGGAGAGGTTCCAGGAAAACTTAGAGGACAAGCTCTCTACTCTGATGATCAGCAATTGTTTTCTCCATCTTTAAACACTTCACCAGGGCCTAATCTTTGCTCTATTTTTCCTGTGAGCTGGCGTAGAAGAAACGTAACAAACAAGACAAGGAGTGCTCCCCTGCAAGAGAGGTGGGCTCCCTGCCGGGAGGCTCTCGGGGCAGAGGCACGGGCACACAGGGCAGGGAGGCCATACTCACTTTCCCGGATCTGGCATCTGTGTACACAGCAGCCGCAGGCACTGGAAGCTCTTCCGAATTGAATGGATGTTTGCCATCCCCATAAACACCACCTCGCAGTTGGGATAATACTCTGGAGGGAACAACGAGAAAGAGGACATGAGGAAGCCACACAAGCAGGGAGGAGGAATGGCAGCCTGCAATCAAAGCCACCCCTACAGCCATAGACGCAGGCCACGATGAGGCCCGGGGACGTGGCGATGAGGCCTGGGCCTTCATTAGGAGGCAGTGCCTACCGTGTGTGTGTGTGTGTGTGTGTGTGTGTGTGTGAGAGAGAGAGTGAGCGTGCACGCGCGTGTGAGTGTGTATGCACGCGCGTGTGAGTGTGTGCGCGCGCGCGAGCGCGTGTGTGTGTGTGTGCGTGCACGCGCATGTGAGTGTGTATGCACGCGTGCACGTGAGTGTGTGTGCGCGTGAGCATGAGTGTGCGCACGAGCGCATATGTGTGTGTGAGCGTGCACGCGCATGTGAGAGTGTGTATGCACGCATGCGTGTGAGTGTGTGTGCGCGTGAGCATATGAGTGAGTGCGCGCGAGCGCGTATGTGTGTGCGCACGCACATGTGCGAGTGTGTGTGTGTGTGTGTGTGTGTGTGTGTGTGTGGTGCCACTCACACCTCTCCCTACACCAATGTGGTAGGAGAGGGTCCCTGAGCCAAGGGCCTCTGCCCTGGATGGAATAACACTCTGTAAAAGATGGCAAGGCATTCCCATTTTCCCATCTTAGCTTAGCCTCCCACACAGGAAACTGACGAGGCCCAGAGGGACAAATTCTGGCCAGGCCTGTTCCCTTCCCCGGAAGAGGGGCTGCTCTAGGCCTTCCTGGAGGGACCGTGGCTGTAGGCTCCACTGTGCACCCCAGAGACCCCAAGAAGCAGGCTTGAGGGGCAGCCACCAGTATATGTGCAAGAAATCCAAGAAGCACTGAGAAGGTCTTTTTAATTCACAACAAGCTTCCAAACATGAACAACCCTAATAATAGAAGGGGATTTCCTTTCCTTATCACCAGGAAGGCTGGCACACAGGAAGGAAAGGATGCTAATGGGCTTCGTGCGCCATACATCTCCCTCTGAAAAACATCCCCAAACTGTCATGTTAGGAATCCACAGATAAGCCCAGGCCTGCCACAATGGAGCCAGCAGGATGAGCACATGGCTGGGGCCCTGGCCTTTTGTCTCAGGCCAACCAAGAAGCTTGTGGCTGGACTCACTGGGACCAGAGGCCCGTGGGTCCCACCACTTACCTGGGCATTCGCAGCCACCTCCTTTGGCTCGGTTTGCCACAGCTGCTGCATAGGACCGCGCGTCCAAGATGAGAAGCTTCTGAGGCTGGATAGCTAAGCTCTCTGCTCCAGAAGCATTTGACAGGGAAGAATCTAAGGAGAACCAGAGGAAAATAACTACTTCTCTGTTACCAGTTCTTGCCAGGTATCGTCTATAACAAAAGTCCCAGGCAGACAGAGTCTAACATTTACACACCTCAGTTAATAGGATTCTCTTCTCTTTTCCCTGACTCTCCCAGGGCCCGCTTCGACTGTTCTGGACGATGCAAAGCAACTCAAAGCAGAAGACACTCAAGTGTCAAACAAGAGCCTTGAGGCACCTTAAAAGCCAAGCCATCTGCTCCCTTCCCAACACGACCACGCTACCCTTTTTATTTTTTTAAACATGATACAACAGGTTCAGAGAGGGCAAGACAGCTATTAAGAAGGAAAACTACTTAATCAGTTCCTTCCTTATTTGGAAGTTAGTGTCTTTTTTGTTATACTTCCACAAAGATTTTCAATAAGAGCTAAAGTAACACAGGGTCTTCTGCTCTTGTAGCAGAAACTTCGACACTTGCTGTCCCTCCACTATCCCAGGCCCTGACCTTTGGCCAGGCCTCAGCACCGCTTAACTGGGCCAAGCAGATGGGGATTATTTCTACTCACGCTCTTGTACCAAACTCTGCAGAGTGGGGAGGGAGAAAAGCCACAGGCTGTTATTATCAAAAATGAAGATGGCTAATAAGCTTACCAAATTCTACGTCCGAAAGGTCACCTCCATTGGAACACTCCCTAGAGCAATTTCCATTCAGTATCTTGCCACCGCCAGACCTGGAGTCAGAGGCACAGGCTTTGGCCACAGACTGCACGAGGTGCTCGTCGTCAGCATTCCGCCAACCCCACCAGCTGACCTCGGGCTGCCCACAGCGGGCGATGACCGCCCCGTTGCTTTGGTGCCTGGCGAAAGAGAAGCCATGAAAAGAAGCCCTGGGTCTACAAGGCAGCTACTTGATGAAGGTAAAATTTCTCAACAGGCATTTCCTTCCTATGTAAATAAAAACACACAGGCCAGTCTTGAATGTTTTGGGAATCAGGTGGTGCATAACCTTGGACAAATAGGTAAAATCAGCAAACAGTGGCCTGCAGCCAGGCAGCCTCCACACTTAGCAGACAAGAACACGAAAGGCTAACAAGATGGGGGCTGGGTCTAGTCGGGATGGAACACAGAGAGCAACTAGGACGCTTGGTAACACAGTTCCCATCTGACAGATGTAAAGCACAGTGCCGTGTAAAGTTTGAGGGGAAAAGTCATCATGATCTCACCTAAGGTTACACACCTAATCGATGACAGAATAGTCTGACAGAGAGATCCTTAGGCTCCCAATCCAGAGAATCGAGTTCAGGACCCAGCATGCGATTTACAAGTGTTTGACTGTGAGGGAGGTGGAAGATAGTGGAAGAGCACAACTTGTGCAAACATCTAGAAAATTCACCAGACTAAATTCGGATCAGGAAATGCAAGGAAAAAACTTCACAGTCCAGCTTGTCTGGCATAGGGAGACGGAGAAATATGAGGAGACTTGTAAAATGGACACAGAGGGAAGAGAGCAGAACCAAGGGAACAATTTACACTGTGAGACAAAAAGCTCTGAAAGACTGAGGAACTCTGATCAGAGCAATGATCGACCACAGTGCCGAAGGATTCATGATGAAACATGCTGTCCATCTCCTGATATGGAGGTGAAGGACTCACAAGACAGAATGAAACCATTTTTTCTTCCTGAACACATGGTCGATGTGGAAATTTGTTTTGCTATATTACATATGTTTATAACAGGGGTTTTGTTTTTCTTTGTTTCTTAGGGTGGGGAGGGGGGGAGAAGAGAAGGAACAAAAGGTGGGTTTTTGCTGACTGAAAAAAATTCACTAAAGCAAACAAAAAAGCAACAAATGTATGATTGTGGGCAAGTCCTTTCCCCTTTGTGAACCTGAAAACAGGGAGACTAAGTGTCCTACCTCTCCCTGAAAACAGCTGTAAAGAAAGCACTTATGTTAACTGTAAGGCACTAGAAAAACAGGTTCTTAATATTGCAAGATGTGGCTCATAGAGCCCAAGTCTGTGGACCCCCAACATAATGTTCTGGGGTTGGTTTTGGCACTCTGTGTGTGTGTGTGTGTGTGTGTGTGTGTGTGTGTGTAGGATGTTGATATGGAGGAAACCTTAAAGATCATCTAGTTCAGAGGTTCTCAAAGTGGGCAATGTCACCCATTGTGTAGCTTTGGGTGTAATTGGGGGGGGTGTTGAATAAAATTACAGGGGTGGTGGAAGCATAAGTAAACCAAAGAGAAGAAAATTTTGAAAAATTATTTATACATGTTACATCTGTTGTGTAACAGAGTTAAAATCATAATGACTCTATCATTATCCAAATAAACACATAAAATGCAAGTTATAACTGATCAGTGGTCAAGTCCGCCAACAGGTCTTAACAAGCAAGTGTTAGTGGGCAAGCATACTGTACACTGTTGGCAAGTCCAGCATGCATCAGCAGGAATACACGCGTGTAATGACTTGTTTACAATACGATACTGTATGGTTATGTGACATAAGATTGCATCATCAAAATTTCAAAGAAGGAAACCCCCCACAAATTTACAGTAAATTATTAAATTTAAGATGCATCATTTAAAAAAATTTATATATTTTTTGAAATGACACAAATTTAAACCAAAAAAATCATTAAAGGGTTAAAGAAAGTAGATTCCCAGGAGGGTGCTGAGCAATTTTTCTGTTTTCGAAAAGGGGAAGGCAGGCCAAATAAGTTTGGGAACCTCTGATCTAGTTCAATTCCAATTTACAGATAAGAAACTGTGGCTCATATATGGACAGGACCTACCCAGGGTTACATAGTGAGGAAAGGCTAGGAACTGAACCCAACCTTCCTGACTCTACATTCAAGGTTATTTCTAGTGTATACAGATGTATTATATGTATACAATGAAATAAACTCTTGTATCCTATCAGGACAATAATCTCCCAATTTCCAAAATTACGAAGGGTAAACTTTCTTAAGCATGGGTCAATTTTTATTCAAATTTATTTATTTTAGTTTTCAACATTCACTTTCACAAGTTTTTGAGTTCCCAATTTTCACCCCATCTCGCCCCTCCCCCGACCCCCAAGACGGCATGCATTCTGAATATCCCTTCCCCTAGTCTGTCCTCTCTTCTATCTCTCCCCCCTTCTCTTATCCCCTTCCCCTTCTATTTTCCTGTAGGGCAGGATAGAGTTCTGTACCCCATTTCCTGTATTTCTTATTTCCCAGTAGCATGTGAATACATTTTTTTAAAACTTTAGGTTTCAAATTTTCTCTCTTCCTCCCTCCCCACCCACCCTCATTGAAAAGGCAAGCAACTCAATATAGGTTGTACATGTTGCAGTTATGCAAAACATGTCCATAGTAGACACGTTGTGAAAAACTAACTCTATTTCCCTTAATCTTATCCTGCCCCCCCATTTATTCTATTCTTTCTTTTGAAGCATGGGTCAATTTTTAACAGTGATACCTCAAGTACTTTAAAAGCTCCAATTCTATTTTGAGAAAATGGAATTGGGGTCAAAAATCTTCAAATATACAGGGAGTTGAGCCAAATTTATCAAAATAAGAGCCATTTCCCAACTGATAAATGGTGTAAATAGACAGGCAGTTTTCAGAAGAAATCAAAGCTATCTAAAATCAAATGAAAAAGTGCTTTAAATTACTACTGATTAGAGAAAAGCAAATTAAAACAACTCTGATGACCTACTTCACACCTATCAGATTAGCTAACATGACAGAAAAGGAAAATGTCAAATGCTGGAGGAGATATGGAAAAATGGAGGCACTAATGCACTGCTGGCAGAGTTATGAACTGGTCCAACCACTCCAGAGAACAATTTGGAACTATGGTCAAAGAGCTATAAAACTTTGACCCAGTAATACCACAGCTAGGTCTAGACCTAGACCTAACCCTAGACCTAAGTCTAGACTAAAGACATCAAAGAAAAGGAAAAGGACCTGTACATACAAAAAGATTTACAGCAGCTCTTTTTGTGACAGCAAAGAACTGAAAATTGAGGGCATGCCACCCATTGGGGAATGGCTGAACAAGTTATAGTATAAGATTGTGATGTAATCCTGTTGTGCTGTAAGAAATGACAAGCAGGATGGTTTCAGAAAAGACTGAGGACTTAAGTGAACCGATGCAAAGTACAGTGGGGTAGACCCAGGAGAACACTGTACAGAGTCACAGCAATACTATATAACGATCAACTGTGAAAAACGTAGCTACTCTCATCAAATCCATAACAACTTTGAAGGACGTGTGTGGGAAAAATGCTATCCCTGTCCAGAGAGAACTGACACACTCTGAATGCAGACTAAAGCATAATTTTTTTCCACTTTCTTTTTTCTTTTTCTTTTTTTTTTTTAACAACATGGCTAATATGGAAATATATTTTGCATGGCTTCACATATATAATGGGTATCATATCTCTTGCCTTCTCAAGGGGTAAGGGAGGAGCTGGATGGAGGAAGAGAATTTAGAACTCAAAATATAAAAGAAGAAAAACATAGGATTAAAAAAAAACCCCTTGGTTGTATCACCTAAAATGGTGCTATGCAGAGTCTGAGGGTCTTTAAGGAATGCTTGGCTGATACCAACTTCTGAATGCTAGTAGCCCTGATGGTCCACTCCATGGTCAGCCTGGATAGTCAATCTTAGGCTCAAAAGCCTTTAATCTTTAAGGGGCTACTTTACAAATGGGGCTTAAACTCTCCCAGTCAGTAGATACACCTCTTATAGGACACAAACAGGAGAATATGCTAATGTCCTCTCCCTGAGGTATGGGGGAGCAGGTGCTTTTTGGAGGAGTCAAATTTTCCGTAGGTAAGTAGATAAACGAGACATGGCTATAGTCATGTGCTATTTCAGCCTTTCTCATGGATTCAAAGGACCATTCTACTGAAGAGGAAATAAGAGCTAGAGATCATGGCAACTTTTAAAACCAAGCATTTCCTTTCTGAGCAGCTTTGAAACTAACTATAAACACTCATGGCAGCAGGTAGTTTTTAAAAACTCCTCCCAAATCTTCCATGTGGCTCCAAAGTCATGGAGCCTGGCCTGCTCAACTGCCCAAGGTCTTGCCCCATACTGGATGCCTGCCTGCCTGCCTATCCCAGCTTGTTAGGGCCAGCGGGCCTGGCACCGCCCCTCTCCAACAGCAGGTGGCACTGTGCTGCTGTAGCCCAGGCCTGGCCAGCTACAGTGGGATTTTGTCTGACTCTGGCTGGGCTGGACCGTCTCCAGGCCACCCTTACAAAGTTCAGTTTTGCCTTCACTAAGCTCCTGGTCCCTGTCACAGTTCCCTCTGCACTTGCCCCAGCAGCACTGGTCCCTGCAGGAAAGGTCAGCCCCAGCCCCATTACCAACAAGACAGCTCTGGTTTACAATGTATGTGATAAAGATGATTTTGTTGGAGCCCTGAGTCATTAAGTGAGGTGGGAAGTACCAGGTTCATTCCCCCAGAACCTTTGGGCTAAGCTGCCTGGCCCCTTGACTAGTAGAAGTCAGAATCTGAACAAAGGCCTTGTGACCAGGACAGCCCCGTCCACGGTAGCACCAACCTCTGTGTCACCCAGGCTTAATATCTCTCAGGACCCCAAGCCATGCCTCTGGCTCTTGCCTTTCCTCCTCACGCACACCATCCCCAGCTGGCATGAGATCTTCTCTAGGTACACATGAAGCCCACTCGCAGCAGCCTGCTTCCAGGAGTTCAGACTGAATAATCAGCTCCTAAGGGTGAGACCTACTGCTTAGGCCTTCTTGGGTAGAGTCCCACGGTGCCTCGCACAGGCCCGCCCACGTAGGGGGCACTGACAGGCAGCACAAGACAGGATGTCAAGAGATTTGGGTTCAGGTCCCCGGGCTACAAACGTGGGTCATCTCCCTCTTCCGGGCCTGGCTTCTTCCTCTTTTAAATTCGAGTGCTGGACCAGATGACTTCCAAGATGTGTTGCAATTGGGGGTGAGGGGATGTGGCATTCTGAAAGACCACCAAAGAAATGGGCACAGACACAGCCCGTCTGTGAGCTGCACGGGAGCCAATGTGGGGCTGCCTGCACAGAAGGTGGGCGTCCTGGCTCAGGAAGGAAGGGTTTCTCTTTCCCGTCCTCAGGTCCAGTTCTCAATAATAAAGGGGGAGTTGCTGCAGCACCCCCCAATAAGGCAGAAAAGAATGGCTGGGGCACACCAAGTCTCACCCTGGGAGGCTCAGGGGAATGAGCTGAGCACGTTTGACTGGAGAAAAGAAAACACTCCTGGGAACCAAAGCAGTGCCATGTCAGAGAAGACGTCCAAGCCAGCTGTATCTGAAGAACTTCTTTGGGAATCTGATCACTGCAGGTCTTCAGGTGGCCCAGGACTGAATGAGGTGAAAAAGGGACTTTTCCTTCTCCTCAGGGGGTCCTCCAGGGTGCAGGCTCCCTCCTTTGGCTGGTTCCAAGAGGATCTTGTGTGATGCAGTGGGAAAGAAGGCTGGAGATCCAGACGGCTCCGTCACATTCCCAGGCTGGCTCCTTGCCTATAGTGATATGGTCAGTCTCCTGTGGCCACTGCTTTGCCCTGGCCTCCAGTAGGGACGTAGCTGGGGGAAGCGCGTCTCTCGTGGCCCAGCAGGGGCCCTTTCCCAGGTGCTTGCAAAGGCAGACAGAGTCATCCAGGAACAGAGATACAATGGCTAGAGAGTGAAGGAAAGCGTGGAGAGAGACAAGGCCAAGATGACAAGTCCATGACAGCCTCAAATGAAACAGGAGCCCAGCCGCACAGCATCAAACCAGGGTCAGAGCTGCCATTTCTCCAGCCTTTGAAAGAGAACCACTCCTTTCCTCCAATATGCCTCCATGGCAGGGAAGACAGTGTCATCTCCACCACACCTAAGAGTCCAAGTGATTCAGCACATCAGAATTTTGAGCAGGAAGAAACTCTAGGGATGGCCTTCAATCACAGAAGAAACTGAGGTTACGTGAGTCACAGTTGCAGGGCTAGGACGGTGCAGAGCACCAAACCTGGAACCTAGGTCCTCATCTGAAGTCCACTGTTCTGTCCTTTATATGTGTTTTTGCTTCTAATGGAGAGAAACTAGAAAAACTCCACAGAAAAATCAAGATGCCCAGTCATCCTCTCCCAGCTACATGTAAGATCTGGAGGCCCAGAGCAACACTGCCAGCACACACGCTGCAACCGCTCTTCCTCTCAGGCTCACCCCACCCTCCCTCAATCAATGCCTGACAATGTGGCTCTGGCACCGTACCTTGGCCTCTGGAAGAGTCTTCTCCACACCTGGTTTACTCTTTCCCCTCCCACAGGGAGGCAGACCTCAGTCTGCTGGACCCCAAATATATCTACCATAGAGCTGGAAGGGCCCTTAGAGACTACGGAGTTCAACACCTTCACATGACAGATGAAGGGAACCTGCCCAAAGTCACACATTGACCGAGCAGCATTGTCTCTCTGAGTCTCGAGCTCACAGCCCTATTCCTCCAGGTAGCCTCCCCACAGGCAGCCCGGCTCGCTCTCACCGCTGCTCCTCCGGCCTATGACCCTCTTGGGATGGGCACTCTCTGTGCTTCCTGGCTGTGCTACATGACATTTATAACTGAGTCACCCATTACACTGTTCTCTGTTGTCTCCTGTGCAGTGGCACAGAAAGCACAGACTTGGAATCAGGGTGGGAGGGCTTTGCTGCCTTTGTGCCTTGGGCCAACAGAGTCACCTCTCTGAGCCTGTTTCCTCATCTGTGACCTGGGGATAACAGGTGCATCTCCAACCTCAAAGGGTTCTGGTGAGGAAAGAGTGTTGTAAACCTCGAGTTATTAAGAAAACACACAGATGCTGCTCCCACTCCGATCACTGCCCTGTAACTGGTGTCAGGTCACGACACGGCACCATCTTCTACTTCCCTCCTGACCTAAGCTCTCTGCAGACAAGGAAGGTGTCATTTTCTTACAAGTCTTCAGGAAGCTGAATAATCAGTGAGAGATACTCAACATGGGACCCTTGCTTCAGGTGAGAGATCAGAAGGTTTCCATGATTTCTTTTGTAACCTCAACCCACAGCACTATGGCAGCACTTTTACCACAGTGGGGATACCCAAGGCTTTGCTGGATGCTACGGTTTTCAAAACCATCTCATCTCCAGCCCAATTCATCCTTTCCACTCTCTTTTTTCGGGTCAGAAGTGAGCCAATAGCACCTTCAGGTACCAGAGACCACAAAGACCCACAGCGCCTTGGCCAGCTTACCTGTAGACCACAGCGGGGATGCGTTTCCAGGACCTGAAGCTCGCTACGCTTTCGAGCTCCTTGTCGGTAATCCAGGCTGGCACGATGAGCTCCTGAGGGTAGCTGCCACACAGCCTACAAATTGAAGACAGAAACAGAAATCTTAGAGGGGCCGACACAGGGCAGCTGCTGAGGCCTCAGGCTGGCACTAGACAAAACAGACAGACAAGAGTGAACGAACAGATTAATGAGGGGCATTCATAGGGCGCCTACTATGCGCCGGGCACCATGGCAAACACTTTATAACATCAGCACCAACAGTACCCATTTTTTATGGAGCGTTTTCCTTAAAATAATCCTACAAGACAGGCAGCAGAATTACTGTCCCCATATTCCAGACAAAGAAACTGAGGCTGAGAGAGGAGCAGTGGGGGTATGGCAGAGCCGATTCAAAGCGTGCTCTTCCGTCTTCATGGGATCCCATTTCCTCCCCAAGTGCCACAGCTGGTCGCTCGTGTCCTTGGCGTTCCTCCACTGCGCCTGCCTGAGCACCAGCCAGCTCTGTGTCCCTAACTCTGGAGAGGCCCAGCATCTAGCACAAAAGCAGGGGCAGTCTCTCAGTCCTTGTCCTGGCTGCCCACAGCTGGTGGGTCAGCTCTGAGCAGCACATGGCAGAACCCTGGCAAAGCCAGGTACAAGCAGAGGACAGCCAAGTGGATGGGGAGAGGATGAGAGGTCTGCGAGGATCAGCTGGAGAGCACTTGGGATTGGAGGGTATCAGGAAAAAACAAAAGGCATTAAACTGAAAAAGAAACCAGGACACTTACAGGGACACAACAGCTGTCTAAAAATATGTGCAGGGCTGTTAAATGGAAGAACAGCAAGCAGCTGGGTGGGGGTGGGGGGAGATGGAGAGATGGAGAGGCAGGTTTGTTAAGAAAACAGCAAGAACTGTCTGCAAGTGGACTGGGAAGCCTGATGAATTCTGCATTGCTGGATCAAGCAGAGACCTCCGAGGTCCCCCCCCCCCCAACTATGAGAACCTAGAACTACTGGGCCAAAAAGAATGACCTCCTGAAGTCGAGAAGCAAGTAGCCAGCAGAAAGCGATTCTTTGGGCTTCATTTGGAGGAAAACTGAGGCAGAACTCATGGCCCGAGATATCAAAGTCACCCTTCCAAATGCTTTACAGGCCTGGAAGAATTGGCCGACAGATAGATAGGTTGAGATGTCCCAACTAATGGGTATAAGCCGAAGCTCGAAGCCCACAGCCTGACCAAAATGAGTGCATCAACACAGCGGTCACTCTCCTACCCAGGCCAACAAGGAGAAGCCGCCAATAAATGTAGCCATGATTTCATGCTGGTATAGGAAGCTTTCCAGAAGCACATCAAGTCGGAGATGCCCTCTGTTAATTATCAATGAATGTCTCTGGTAGCCACTGGAGGGCATGCTGAATTCAGAGGAGGCTCTCCCGAGGTGCCACAATCTTCTTCTCAGCGGGCTTTTTTTTGCCGCCACTCAACAGCCCAGGAAGAGAGCAGCAAGGTCTGATGCTGGGATCTAACCTTTATGTCTCCTGCTTCTCTCCAAGTCAGCTGCTATTTTCCGTGTCCTGCTTCCAATTTCTAGAAGACCATAAGACATCTCAAGGTAGGATGGCAGAGTATGAAACAAGAACTGGATTTGGTACCTCAAGACTTGAGTTGAGTCTAAGTTCAGATGTTTCCGAGCTGTGAGACCATGGGCAAGTTAAATAACTGCCCTGAAACTCAGTTTTCCCCTCTACAGAATGGGGAAAATAACATTCACGGCTTAATTCACAGGGTAATGAGGAAAGTATTTTGAGTTATTATTATCCACAGGTGACCAAGAATGATTGTATTAAATGCCTTAAAATTCACCTACAGACAAATTTGTAGATAATGTTTAGGAAAACCAATAGCCATTTACAAATGAAATACACACCTTAAACCAAGGGCCACCTAACAATCACCACCAACTGCCATGTAAGCAAACACAAAGGAAGAGACAGAATGGAGATGTCAGTGGTAACTGCTCAGGCGCGTCTGCACTCAGGACAAAGCCAGATGTCTCCACTGCGACCATCTGAGAACCCTCATGCCAGCACAGGGTTGGGGAAAGTGCAGCGCTCCAGTAGGAAGGCCGGAGCTGTCCTGAGCCCAGGCAAGTCACATCACCTCTGGACTGCCAGAGCCCACTTAGCGGGCTGATCTCTTCACCCTGAGGGGAGTGGGCTATGTGACCTGTAACATGCTCTCCAGCACCACCGTTTCATGTGCTAATAGCTGAAGAACCCGTGACTAACTGCTTAGAAAGAGAACTAGGGCAAAAAAAAAAAAGGCCTTTTGCTTTTATTTTATTTAGCTGTTAAAAAAAAACAGTGCCCAATTAAACCTAAAATAGAATCTATAAATAGTGACCTTTTGTTATCAGGATATGTTTCTAAAAACCACCTGTCAACTTCTAAGGAAAAGTTTTCCCCAAACAGTCATAAATGCATTAAGAGAGAAATGAAACTATTTGCAAATGGATCTGTTTAAATACCAAAAAAAAAAAGCTTCAAATTCAAGTCTTAAAATACACTCCAATTAAACTATCTTAAATTGGAAAACAATGAATTCAAATAAAACAAGAACAACTGTTAAGACTCTGCCTACCTTTTTTTTTTAAGGCAGTTGGGGTTAAGTGACTTGCTCAGGGTCACACAGCTAGTAAGTGACAAGTGTTTGGTCCGAGGACAGATTTGAACTCAGGCCCTCCTGACTTCAGGGCTGGTATTCTATCCACTGCGCCACCTAGCTGCCCCCTCTGCCTATCTTTTGAAGAATCCACAGTAAGTTTTCAAAACAATGAAATTCATTTTTAAAAACTTTCCGAGTTTTGTTTTTTTCAAGTAAGGCTCACAGACTGCTTTTTGAATGCATCACCTTCCAAAGCCAAAGTATGTTTTACCTTCCCCTTGTATCAAGGACTCAAGCAACTGTAAGAGGAAATATCTGCTGAAACAAAGTAGGACTGATGGCCTGCTGCCCCTGGCCTTCAAACTCCCCCCAGAACAAAGAAGAAGATGAGCTACGCTTGGGCCAATGTCACCAATCCTCGTCAAAGTTTATGGCTAATTACTCAATACTGGTGGATTCTGTCTTTCTAGTTGAGGTGCTCTGCTAAGCTTTCACTAAACACCGAGGAGACTGACTCCAGACAAAGCAGACGTACAGGCAACAGAAAGGTTGGCCTGTCTCTGCTTGTATGGATGTTGCTGTTCAGTAGTTTCAGCCGTGTCTGACTCTTCAGGACCCCATTTCGGGGTTTCTTAACAAAGATACTAAAATGGTTTGCCATTTTTTTCCCAGCTCATTTTACAGATAACGAAACAGAGATAAACAGAGTTAAGTGACTTGCCCAGGATCACACAGCTGGTGAGGCAGGATTTGAACACACAAAGTCTTCCTGACTCTAGTGCCTGTGCTCTGTGCACTATGGCGCCACCTAGCTGCCCTAGAACACCTAGCTTGTGTGGAACAGGGAAATCTATCATGAGAAAAGACTGCATCAATGCCAACTTCTTGACCGCATCAGAGGGTCTCAGGGTGGACAAGGCCCTCAGAGCACATCTAGGCCAACCAGGACTAGCCCAAAAATCTCTCTCCTGCTTCCACCTGAAGACTTCCCGAGAGGAGGAGCCGACAGGTAGGCAGGTCCAAAGGCAGCCTAGTTTACTTCTCAATGAAAGGAAAGTTTCTTTACAGCAAACCTTTCAGTGCCAAACACTCATGCTATTTCAAGAAGGAAGTAGTCTTTCTAAGTGCTAAGGCAGTGAGAAAAACTGTTAAAGTATTAATTAATGTTTCTTAAATGTAATTGGCATATTAGTTTTAAACCAACTGTACAATGCAAACCAGCTCTATCTTTGTACTGTGTTTCTACATTCCTTTGACAGTTACTACTAGCCTTCTCTTTATCTTGAGGCCCACCTCACAGAAGTGAGGGGTGACCCCAAGACCTCAGAAGCTCTACCAGCAAGGCTCCTCACCAGATACTTGGGGGAAGGGTGTGTGTGTGTGTGTGTGTGTGTGTGTGTGTTTATCAAAGACCCTTAACCAAAAGGTATAGATAGGTGATCCCCCAATTATGGCTTGCTCCACCTGCTGCTCTGTCTTTCCCTCCACTCCCTCTCCCTTTCCCTTACCCAGGCATGCGATTACCCACCATCTTTATGCTAATGACTTCCAGATCCATTTATCCCATCAAGTCTCTCCGTGACTGAAGTTCATCTCCCACTGGGACATCTCCAACTTCGTTTCATAAGGCATGTCAGACTCAACCCTGTTCTAAACTTCCCAGTTTCTGTCAAGGGTACCCCATCCTTCTAGTTACCCAGGTTCACGACCTCAGAGGTCTCCTCCACTCTCAGCCCACATGGTCAGAAGTGCCAAGTCTGTCTCTCATCCATCCCCTTCTCTCTCCCAACAGAGCCACGAGCCCAATTCAGGCCTCCATCATCTCTCTTCTGGAAGACCACCGTAGCCTCCTAATTGGTTCCTCCCTTCTGCAACCCGTCCTCCACATAGGAGCCAAAGTGATTTTCCTAAAGCACAGTTCTGACTATGTTACTTCTCTATTCAAACTCCTGGGGCTCCTTATTCCAGGAACAACTAGGAATGCTCTTTGGCATTTAAAGTCCTTCAAAAACCCTCTCCACTCTATTTTTTCAGGCTTCTTAAACAGAACAACCCTTTAGACATTTGACAGCCTAGCCAAACTGGCAGCTCCTTACTCCATCTCCCAGCTATGTGCTTCTGAATATATGTGCACATAAACGGTGCTGCCTGCCCATGTCTGGAAGGCACTCCCTTCTCACTGCCACCTCTGAAAATCCCTAATTTCCTTCAAAACGCAGCTACAGCAAGAGCTTCCACATTGAGCCTTTCCTGATCGTCCCTGCTGTTAGTCTCCCCCCTCTCCCCAAAATTACCCTATTTATTGTGAAAATGTTTACATACCCACACTGTCTTTCTCTTATGGAACTCAAGTTCTGGGAGCACAGGGAGGCCCCCATTTATGTCCTTACACCCCAGTGCATAGCACAATGCCTGGCACACAGCGAGGTCTAGATCATAATTTCAGTGGATGGGAGGAGTTGTCACCGATGAAATCACAGATTTTGGGGAAAATGAAGTGAATGTATTTTATAATACCGCAGAGACCCTTGTATAATCAATGTGTAAGGTACCTTTCATGTCTATTTTATGGAATTTGGGACATAATTATGCTCTTTTCTCAATTAAAGATGCTTAAGTCGGAGATTTTTTTTAAGTTCAATAATATAGCATCAGTCAATCAGATTATCAGATGCCGAGTCCTTGGTCAGGAATGAATGGTTCAATCATAACAGTGTTACTAAAGAGAAAATATGACCCACTTTATACCTACCTGTTGTATGGTTTACAAACACATAGCAAAAGGGGGAATTACCTGTTTTCTCTCTTATCCCCCTTTCCCCTCCCTCCTTCTTCCCTCCCATGAACACACGCACTCACGTATGTACGTATGTATGTATGTATGCATGCATGCATGCATGTCTATGTACCCACACATACACATTTATACAAAATGAGAAGATCCCAGAATCTCTGGGTTGGAAGGGGTCCATCTCATGTAACCTGTACCTGGAAAGAAAATCCCCAATACATTTCCAACACGTGGTTATCTAGTCTTTACTTAGAGACTTTTATTTTTTTCTCCAGGGACGGCAACAGGGGCAAGTAGTTTAGAAAGTATCAACGAACACTTTCCAGATGACAGATTCAGATCTGATAAATAAATAAAGTTGAAAGAAGCCCAAGTTCAAACGATGTGCTGCACACAGGCTGGCGTTTTCAAGGCGGGCCCTTGGCCACGAGCCAGCTGTCTACAGGGACCCAGACAACTTACTGTATTTCTCATTGATGTTGGAGATCCTCCAGGCGTTGTTCATATCAAAACCCATCCGCTCAACTTCATTTTTAAATCTTGCCGTGACGTGCTCCCCTAGGGACCAAGAGCAGATGAGAAAGAAGTGAGGCAAGGCTCCCAGAAGAACAGCTCATCTGCTTGCTCATGACACAGCAAGAGTGGCTCTAACAAGAGCAACAAAAATGTGGTTTCCTACTTTTCAGAGAACATTCGTTCCTAACAGGCAACACTATGGCAAGATATCTGAGCAGAAATGGTGGCATGTCCCAAAATATCCCAATGATTAGACCTTCTCTGAAGAGCATCAGCGATCAGGCCCAGGGGAAGCTCAGGAAACAGCAAAAGGCTGGGTAAGGAGCTCACCGTGTGTAAGCACATTAACAAAACAAGGACAATTGGGCTGCACTAGCATTAAGGTGCTGCTGTTTTTTTCAAGAGAGAAATAAAGAGGCAGCAATGGAGCCTACCATTCCCTGCTGCTCTAAATGCCAGTAAAACCCGTCCATGCTCAGTCTGTTTACGTCATCATGACAATCATTAGGCAGTATTCTAAATATCCAGGAGTGCAGGACATAAAATAAACAAACACCAAACAAAATGAGTTGCAAGAGGAATCATCACAACATAAGCAGGTCTCCCAAATCTAAGGAAAAACAATGTGGTTTATCCCAGAGAACCTTCGACTTTAGGAAAGGAAATGGGGTGATTTCTCTCTCGAATGCAAGGCACAATTTCCCTATTTAAATTGCTTCTTTATAGTCCAAGCTAAGTTGCTAAAAGAGAAAAATACCCAAACGATGGGCTCCAGGGATGCAGGAAGGCAATAATCTGCTAAATCCAACCCGTTTTTAGAAAGGATTTGGAAGCAAAGTAGTTGGCTTCAAGACAAGGGAAAAAAAGTGCCTGAATGAGATGTACGCTTTGGTCCGCTCACCCATGAACCCCAAGGACCATGAGCCTTCCTGCCTCAGGAAGGCTTCGTTTGTCCCGTCTCATCACTCAGAGTCTCGAGAAGCTCCCTAAACTCCCAGGTTTGTTCAAAGATGAACAGAAATGTCTAACTTGAGGGAAGTGGAAGCTATGAGTGCCATGGGTGTATTACGTTTAAAAAAAAAGGGACAAAACCAGGTTAAGTCCAAGGAGCCTCTGGTGTCAACGTAGCCAGCAGAGACCTCACAGCACGGAGCATGTGCCAGGAGAAGCAAGCCTCCACCTCGGATGGGAATGGGGGGTGTGGCCGAGGTGGTGTCCTGAGTAATGACTTCAAGCTATCCCCAGTTTTAACTATTCACTTTATTACAGCTCACCCAAAACATCTAGCTAAGACCATGAATACTAATGATGAGGGGAAGTCAAACAAATGACAAACAGGCTCCCTCTTGGCTTCTATGTCTGACACAAAACAGCCACCCAGCCCCAGTCTGGCCATGCTGGACAAGATTCCCACTGATCTTCGGTGAGGACTACAGCTGCAGAGCAGTAGAGTCTGAAGGTCCCTTGAAGGTCAGCTGGCCCTACCCCAGCTCGCACTGAACCAAGCAGAACTCGGCTCCACAATGTCCCCAGTGATTCCCGTCTTTGTTTCCCTTGCCCTCCCCCAAGGCAATATGCTCCATTGTGGGTCATCCAGTCATGGCATTCCACAGATGGAAAAAAGTGGTTCTGGAGACTTCTAGAGGTGGAGCCAAGATGGCAGAGTAGAAAAGGCTGAGCTCTCCCAATATTCCTCTCCAAACAACTTCAAAATAACTCTTCAAATAGACTTCTGGAGCGGCAGAGCCAACAAAAGGTCAGAGTGAGACATTCTTCTGGCCCAAGACAACATAGCAGGTTGAAAGAGGGATTTGTGACACAGGGGCAGGAGGCTGGCCCAGAGACCACATGGATGGAACTGTGGGAGGACTAGGTGATGATGGCAGAAGTAGCAGCAGCAGCGGCTTTGGAAGCTCTTGAGGCAGAGGTGGTGAGGGGACCTGGCAACTGGTCAGAAAGAGATGACAGAGACATAGGACCAGACACTAGTAAGCGACTCCACTGCCTATACTGACTGCTAGGTCATAGGTCAAAGGCAGAGGAGAACACTTTTGTTCAAGAGGGAGTGGGAGCCCTGAAGGGCAGTATCATTTCCAGGATCAAGGATCTTAAGGAACAGTATTGTTTCTGGTCCCAAGGAAGGAGGAGCTCTGAGAAGTATCAACTGCAATTCCAAGGGATCAGGGGTCCTTCCTGGGTAAGGACCAGATCGCAGACCAGGAAAACACTCATTACAACTGTCCCCAGATCACACCAACTTCAAAGTACTGAAAACTTCCAAAAACCCAAACGAGCTCTGAAAACAGCAGCGCAAAAAAGGCTGAAGTTTGAGACAGTGCCCTTCTACCCCTACCCATGTCAGGAGAAGATCCTCCCAACATTAACAAAAAGTTCCACATCAAGAATTAGGGTGGAAAAATGAGCAAACAACAACAAAAAAACCTGATGACAAAAAAGCTACTATGGTGACAGGGAAGATCAAGAAATAAACTCAGAAAAAGACCATGAAGTCAAAACAGCTACAAGCAAAGCCTCAAAGAAAAATGTGAATTGGACACAAGCCATAGAATTTCCAGAAGCACTAAGAATTGATTTTCAAACTCAAATAAGAATGGTCGAGGAAAAATTAGGTAAAGAAATGAAAGCAAAGGAATAAATTTATGAAAAGACAATACTTTGGGGAAATGGGTTCAAAAATTCACTGATGAAAATAACTTCTTAAAAAAACAGAATTGGCCAAATGGAAAAAGTACAAAAGCTCACTGAAAAAAATAATTCCTTAAAAATCAGAATTTGACACGTAGAAGCTAATGACTCTATGAGACAGCAAGAAACAATAAAACAAAGTGATAAGACTGAAAAAAAAAATAGAAGAAAACTTGAAATATCTCAATGGAAAAACAACTGACCTGGAAAACAGAACAAAGAGAGATAATTTAAGAATTACTGGATTACCTGAAAGCCATGATCAAAGAAAGAATCTACCAGGGGTGGAGCATCTGTGGCCTGGAGGCCACAAGACCTGGAGGTGCTCAAGTTCGGCCCTGTGACTGAATTCAAACCTCTCAGAAAAATCCCCTTAATAAAAGGACTCAGACAAAAGGCCTCACCCAAGACCTAAAAGGCCACATGTGGTCTCAAGGCAGCAGGTTCCCCACCCCTGGTCTAGACACAGTATTTCAAGAAGTTAACAAGGAAAACTGCCCATATATCATAGAACCAGAGGGTAAAACAAAAACTGAAAGAATCCACCAATCACCACCTGAAAGAGATCCCCAAATGAAAACTCCCAAGAATATTACAGGCAAATTCCAGAGCCCCCAGATCAAAGAGAAAATACTTCCAGTAGCCAGAAAGCAACTATTCAAGTACCATGGAGCCAGTCAGGATCACATAAAATCTAGCAGCTATCAAAGTAAAGGAGGAAAAGGCTTGGAATATGATATTCTGGAAGGCAAAAGAACTGACTGCAACTGAGAATAAACTACCCAGCAAAAGTGAAAATGAACACTTAATGAAATAGGGGACTTTCAAGCATTCCTGATGAAACTGAATTGAACAGAAACTTTACCAAGGTAAACATGAAAGAGAAACCACAAGGGACTCAATAAGGTTAAACTGGTTACCTTTCTATATGGAAGATTAGACATGTAACTTCTAAGAACTTTTATCATTATTAGGGCATTTAGAAGGACTGAACATAGAAAGAGGGTGTGGGAGTAAGCCAATTATGTTAGGATGCTGTTAAAAAAAAAAGAATAGGTGAGAAAAAGGGATTTCTGGGAGAATGGAGAGAAGAATGGGGAAAATTGTCTCACACAGAGATAAAAGGAAGGAACAGCTTTTATACTGGAGGGGAAAATGGGGGAGGGCAAGTGAACCTCATTCATATCTAAAATGGTTTTAAAAGGGAAAACAAATACATATACTCAACTGGTAAGAGAACGCTATCTTACCCAATAGGAAAGCTGGAGGAAAAGAGGATTGGGCAGGTGTGGGGGTGGAAGATGGGGTGTGTGTGTGTGTGTGTGTGTGTGTGTGTGTGTGTGTGTGTGTGGAGAAGGCTTGGTGATAAAAGGGAGGGCAGATAAAAGAAGGCAGCAGTAAGAAGCAAAACAGACTTTAGAGGAGGGACAGGATAAAAAGAAAGATAAAGAGAAGAAAAGAGAAGGAAGGGAAATACACTGTTATTGTCATAACTGTGAATGGGATGAACTCACCCATTAAACATAACTGGACAGCAGAACGATTAGAAAGCAGAATCCAACAATATGTTGTTTATAAGAAACATACTTGAAACAGAAAGATACACACCCAATTAAAACAAGAGGCTGGAACAGAATCTATTATGCTTCAGCTAAAGTAAAAAAAGCAGAGGTAGCAATCATGATCAGACAAAGCCAAAGTAAAAATAGACTTAATTAAAAGGGATAAGCAGGGAAACTACATCTTCCTAAAAGGAACCACAGACAATTAAATAATATCAATACTAAACCTATATGCACCAAATGGCATTGCATCCACATTCTTAGAGAAAAAGCTAAATGAATTACAGAAGGAAATAGTAAAATTACACTAGTGGAAGACTTCATTCCACCATCCGATCTAGATAAACCTAGTTACAAAATAAATGAGAAAGAAATCAAGGATATGCATAGACTCTTAGAAAAGTTAGATATGATAGCCCTCTGGAGAAACTGAATGGGAACAGAAAGGAATATACCCTTTTCACAGCTGTACACGGCACCTTCACAAAAACTGACCATGTATTAGGGCATAAAAACCTCACAACCAAATGCAGAAAAGGGGAAATATTAAATGTACCCTTTTCAGACCACAATGCAATAAAAATTATATTCAATAAAGGGCAATGAAAACATATATTAAAAGCTAACTGGAAACTAAATAATCTAGTCCTAAAGAACGAGTAGTTCAAAGAAAAAAAAATCATAGAAACAATTGATAATTTCATTAAAGAGAATGACAACAATGAGACAACATTCCAAAATTTGTGGGATGCGGCCAAAGCAGTACTTAGTGGA